AGTTATCATGGAATATGAGAACTGGAAGGATATTAAAAAACATTTAGCCTAACCCCCTTGTTTTACATAGAGACGAGGAAACCTTACTAAGAGTCATATAATGACTGGGGGCAGAGCCATGAGTGAGGCCGCTGCCTCTTGTCAGACTACACCCGAGAAAAGATGACTGCATCATGAGAACGAAGGATGCACGCTCAGAAGCAAGGGTGTATGCTGAGGTGGGCATTTGGGATTTGTGACTCAACAAAGGCTGCTTTGGGATGAGCCATATCTCACCAGGGATGGGGCAGAAGAGGTGAACATAGCTCCTTGCTCCCAGGAAATTTCCTTGAGCATCAGAAGAGTTCTGCTTTCTATTCTGCTGCTGCTCACTTATCGTTAGGTCTTGAGGGATAATCAAGCCCATCATCAAGGTTGCAAGGCCACACCACTCTCTGGCAGTAGCCCATCAACTGTAATTAGCCCTGGTTCCTGGCAATGTCCCTCATATGGGAGGAAAATCAGTGGAAACAAATGCATAGCTATTTGTGCAATCATCCAGAATTAGCTGGAAACTTCAGCAAATCATTTAACCTTGTTCAGTCTCTGTTACCAACTAAAAATGAAGAAAATAGGACCCCACACGTTCTCTATGTTCTTTGGGATATCCCTTTTCTCTCGCACTAGGTTGTTGTGAGGATAAGGCAGGCTATGCCGGCAGAATATAAATTAAAATATTATTCTTATCATCATCATTTATGGAATATTCCTTAGCATGTATTTTAGGGGGCTTGTCAGTATTGGTCACATTTTTTTCACACAGAGAAGCAGAGGAATAGAAAGGGCTGAATCAGGGTTTCCTAACTGACAGCTAGAGTAGAACTCTAGGTTCATAATGCCCAGTCCACTGTCCACATCCCCTTGGCTTCCCCCTGGGGCATTTGTCCTACATTTCAATTTGTGTCATTTGGGGAAAATGAATCAATGGAAGAAAAATGTAGCCTGGAGAAGAATTTCTGCTGAAAAATCTTAGCATGAAATAAGACCTATCACTTTTACCCATAGAGAAGAGAAAACTGTAAAGTCTTATTTTTCTATTTTTGTCTTTTGGCTGTGTATGTTTTTATTAGAATTGCCATTTTCAAGTTTATTAAAGTTTTGTCATCTCATAATTATTGCCAAAAGAACTGGAGTATACAGTTCATTTTAGAAATATTTCTTTGGGTTTAAAAATAACATACAGTAGGCCAGTGCGGTGGCTCATACCTGTAATCCTAGCACTCTGGGAGGCCAAGGCGGGCGGATTGCTCAAGGTCAGGAGTTCGAAACCAGCCTAAGCAAGAGCGAGACCCCCATCTCTACTATAAATAGAAAAAAAGTAATTGGCCAACTAATATATAGAGAGAAAAAATTAGCCAGGCATGGTGGCACATGCCTATAGTCCTAGCTACTCTGGAGGCTGAGGCAGCAGGATTGCTTGAGCCCAGGAGTTTGAGGTTGCTGTGAGCTAGGCCGACGCCACAGCACTCACTCTAACCTGGGCAACAAAGTGAGACTCCATCTCAAAAAAATAAAAAAATAACATACAGTCATGGAGAATTTGGAAAGACATATGTAAAAGTATGAAATAGGAGAAAAAAATTAACATTAGCGCTCAGAGAAATAATAGTTGAAAGTTTTGTTTCTTTCTATTCTTTTTATATAATTATAAATTTGAGATTTTACTTGTAATACCCACAAGGTATCTCCTTAGGTTGTATTAAATATCTGGACCCACAGACAAGCTCCGGCTACATTTGGTACTGGTCCACTTGGAAAGAACACAGCTTGCCAACAGAACAGCAGTACCCACTTCTCTTTAGTATATGTCCTTGCCGTGGTCCGGCAGACCAATACAGCTCAGGTACATGGGGACTACATCTGTATCAGCGAATGCAGGAGTCATCCTGGTTTAAAAGCCATGTGACATATAGGAGTCAATATAAGGTGTACCAACTCCATAGGCATAGTTTCCAGCATCTGCAGTGGACATGCCAAGTTACAAGAGTCACTGCAGTGAAATCATAGCATGGCACTCTCTTGGGTAATAACAGTTCTCTGACTACAGATAAAATTCACCAATCAGGGGTCAATTTTGCCTAGGGTCATAGTTGATACCTTATCTTTTTTTTTTTTTTTTTTTTTTTTCGGGAAACAGAGTCAGAAAATCAAAAGAAGTTCAGATTCTCTTATAGAGGAAAAGATTTTGCCCACAACTACATACAATGTTTTAGCCTTTAAAAAATCCTAACATGAAATCATAAACATGCTTATCACTACTTAAGGTATTTAATAAATATGACTGCCCCATAATATTCTCTAGTATTGTGTATTTAGCCAGTTCCAAGTTTTTCATTATTAAAACTATTGCTGACATAATCATCCCTACACACAAATCATTGCATAAAACACTGATCGTTTTCTTAACATAACTACAGGGAATGCAGTTAATGACTGGGTCTGAAGGTTATTGACAAGATGTTTTTCAGAAAGAAAACATCAGTTTAGGCTTAGACTAGAATCATATGAAAGTCTCTGTACCTTCAACATGGACCATGTTCCTTTAAAACATTCTCCAATTTTATATGGGAAAATGCTGTATCTTTTAAAAATGTTTTTCTTTGATTACTGATGAGTTTAGAAATGTTTATATGCACACAGGCTACTGATTGTTGTATTGTCTATTCTTGTCCTCTCTTTTTTATTTGAGAAGCTTATCTTTTTAAGTATGAAAGATATTTAACATTTGAATATCATGCTGCAAACTATTTTCCAGTCTTTTCTTCTTAGGTAGACAAATCTAATCTTTTTCTTTATGATAATATCAGCACTCCTATTTATTGAGGGTGCTTTTGTGAGTATTTATGTGGACTTACTTTCTAAGTGTTTGAAATCCATAATTTTCTTGTTTTTAAGTGTGTGTTGAAAAGCTTTCTATTTATTTTGGGGCTCTAGAACATTTCATATAGTTTGGGATTTTTTTAATTCCTCAGAAGTTTGAAGGAACTTATTCCATAGCTACATGTCCCTAGTACTAGTTCTTTTTAGATAAATTTTAGGCATGTTTAAAATTTTATTCTATTCTCATTCATATATTCAGCTTTGCCTCATCTCTTTTGTAAATTTATTTCACTGTTAGTAAATCATCTTTTCATAGATTATCAATTTTGAGGTTTTAAACATTTATTGGCATTGAATTATACACATAATTTAAATATACCTTTAAAAATCTTCATTATATTTGTATGCATTTTTGATTATATTTTTTTTCTTAACTTTTTTACATCTGCCTTTTTTAGACTAGCCAGGGGGCTGCACATTTTATTTATCAATTCTATTTTCATAATTTTTATTACTCAATTTCCCTTCCTTAGAGATTTTTTTTTCATTAAAATTTTATATTTACAGAAAGTAAATTATAGGAGAACCTAGGCAAAAATAAATATTTTCTGGGATGGGAAAGAATAGACGATAATAGTCTAGTAATTCACTGAGTCACTCAGGAATGAAGGCCTGAGTACATAGCAAAATGATATGCTTATGAGACAGGAGAAACCAGGATCTGATTCCAGACTAAGTCCACTGCCTTCAGGTGGAGCCACTATCAACCATTCCATACAGAACCCTGGTTTGATCTGGGGAGTAGGGTATCACTCTAAAGCCAGGCAGACAAGGTCTTAAGAGGATTCTCAGTGGAATCTCATTCTCTTCAGATGGAGGAGGTTGGTCGGTGACTCTGAAGAAGGCAAAGAAGAGTTGCTAGCCAGGTTTTCTGATTCCCTACTCTTCAGCACTTAGTACACGCCAGACACTGTGCTAACGTCATTTCTAAGCTTCATGACAACTCAGGAAATAAGTAGCCAATTGTCCTCATCTTGTATGGGAAGAAACAGTAAGGTGACTTGCCCAAAGGATGTGAATCCAGGTACGTTGGGCTACAAAGCTTGTGTTTTTAACCACTCAGATACATTATGATGCTGACCTTAGTCCCTATAGCATAGTCTTATCATTGAAGGGGCAGCTTTATTGAGCCTGGAATCAATGAGCCAAATGAACTTATCATGTCCCTGTTATTTCTCTCCAAAGTTCTATTCCATTTCTCTTCTTAAAGCAAGCAAAACAGAAAATAACATTTGAACTGAATGTCTGAGCAGTCGGTATATTCCTTGGCATGCCAGTCAGTACCTTTATTACTGTCCCGGGAAGGAGGGAGAAAGGGGGGAGTAGGAACTGCGATTATATCCCAACTAATCTGAGCTTGTAGCATGTTTAGACAAAGAAACATTTACTTTAAAACTCCCCCAAAGTACCGTTTTTAAAACTGAACTGTCTTAAGTGTTAAACCACTTGACCAGATAACACAGATCTATAAACTTTACGCTCTTAAGCAATTTCCCTAGAGGTTGCCTGGCCAGATTTTTGCCTCCTGAGAAAGCAAATGAAATAAACAAAGGTAAAATTGCAACTTAATTGAATGTGATATAATGTGAACAGAGCCAGAGCCATCAAGAACGAATCACAACCAACTTCGGGTCAAGTAATTTCTCTCATCTCTGGCCTCTCTGGAAGTTCAATCAGAACAGCAGGAGATGCCTGCCTGGGGGATTCTCTTCTACTCTGATCTGAGTCTTTATGTCAACGCAAGCACTAACATTCAGGATCTCTTCTGAATACACGCAGCCCACGGTGTATTTTTTAAAGAGCACAGTAGCTATTAGCTAATCATACCTGCAGATTTAGAACATTCACACATGCTTTTTAAAAATTCAGATACTCAAAAAAGCAAAAGCCACCTATAAAGGACAGGATCTATTTTAATGAGTTTTTATGCAGAGCTCCTTTCACTCTGCTTTGGCTGAAACAGGACACCACTGATAAGGCAGCTAGTGAATGCCCAGGAGGATAGGGAAAAGCAGAAAGAGCAGACAGGAAATATTCTCGGGTAACTGACAATAAAGAAGGAAGTCTATTTCTGTACTTACAATAGCAGTTGGGGTGGCAGCCAGCACACAATAGAGCACCAGAGGGGTGATGAAGCTTTCTTCCTCTGTCCCTGGGTAAGGCTTCATTAAGTCTCCATCCTGACAGAAGAATCCTTGTATATGCACCTGAAAAGTGTCAGTGCATTCGAAGTAGTAGGCAAGCAGCACTGTCCCAGCCATGATGACAAGCTGAAAATACAGCATGGCCACACAGAGACATTAGCAGGGCTTCGGAGCAGCCCTTGCCCCGCAGAGCACACTCCCTCCATCACCCCGGCAGCAGCTCTCCTGATATTGGTATTGGCGAGTGTGTGCGTGCCTGGCGCAGCGTGCTCTGGGAGTGTGTGCTTGCTTGTCTGCCTTGTAACATCTGTTCTAGAAACCTTCCAGCAAAGGAGGAACAGCTCCCATCTGAAAGGCAGACCCCAGCCAGGCTCGTGGAGAGCCCCAGCCCTTGCAGCTACCGTCCTCTCAGACCGTGCATGAGAACCAAGGCAATATGTCCATTCAGGACACAGGCGAAAAGTCACAGGGCAGTGGCACGAGAGTTGGCAAGATGTGAATGTGAGAGCGATGAGTGAGAAATTTCATAAAATATTAAGGTAGACTTACCTGATAAAATATTAGAGATAAGTGAATCATGAATAAATGAAGCAATGAACAAATGAAGGAACGAACAGAAAAGCCTAGAGCCTAGAAGGGTTAAAAGGGAAATCTCTACACCCTAAATTACTGGCAGGTATCCTAGATCAGTCGTAACTTTACCCTTTCCAAAATGGCTTTGCCTTTATTCCAAAATGCTTTCCACCAGTAAATCAAGGACTTTGCTGATGATCTTATCTTAGACATATAGCCTTTATAAACTTTAGGTGTAAAAAGAGACAAAATTATCCTTTTCTTTTTGACCCAAATGTCCAAGATACTCACCAAAGTTTAGATATACCTCTCAATAGGTATGTGGAATTGAGGGGATGTGGAAATGCAACCTTATTTTTTCCATTCATATTTGGAAAACACTGAAATGCCAAGATAGTGATAATAAAAGTAGACCAAAAAATAGGTCTTTGAGGTTATGAGACTACAGAAACTTAAGCTGGAAGAGATTTTAGGGATCTTCCTGTCTAACACTTTTATTGCATAGATGAGAAAAAATGAGGCCCAGAAAGTAGAACTGATCACTGCTTGATTATGCAAAAAGTAAACTAAACATTGCTTAGACTGAGCATTGACAAAGCAGGGAAACTAAAATGGAGAAAAAAAATATCTTTAAGTGTTGATTTGTTTAAAAGTATCAAAGTTAGCACTATATAAAAAAATGAGAACTTGGCAGGACATCTTTATATATCTATGGGTTAGAATTGTTATTTGGAAGTACATATAGGGCAGTGAGGGGGGAAACAATGTTTTCAGAGTTTAGAAAGTCTAAAGTTCTTATTCCAGTCCTAGAATGACTCATCCAAGGTCTCATGGCTGGTTAGTGTTAAAGCCAGGACTAGAAAACCACATTTCCTGATCTCCCAGGGGGAAACATGATCTGTGCCAGGGTATCGAAACCACTTCCTATACAAAAAGAGGGGGAGCGGTGGGGAAGGCAAAGTAACCAACTCCAGCGCAGAGGGGCAATGTTTGGCATTTTCCTATGCATCACTCCAGCCACAGCAAATGAAGCATAGCCTTTACACTCTGTCCCACCCTTAACCATTCTCTGGAACTCACCCAGCCTCTGCTGCTGGGATAGCACTTATAGTACTTCTGCAATTCCTCCTCACTGTAGCAGAAAGCATCATTTCCTTTAAGGGTCATTTGTATTAAGAATCTTACCCATTTTTCCAGTTTTCCCTGTTGCATGTCTTTCCTCTCTGGCTCATAAGCCTTTCTTACCTCCCAGTTATAGTATGTCTCAAGTGTAAACTCCTAACCGTCTGATATGGAGGTCTTTACCTTTGGGCCACATCCACCACTACCACCTTGCTTTTTATTCCTGGTAGGCCACAAACCATACTGTACATTCACTATCCCTTGCCTATGATTTGTTCCTGACTCTCTACAAAGATTATGCTCTTCTAGTATCTGGCATTTTCTAGCCAGTGGATCTCCCATCAAAACTTCTGACCATATAGTAGTCTCTGAACACTCATGTGTGTTTCTCCATGCCCGAAGTTGTTTGTTGGTACCACGTGTAAATCACCAACCTTCATGCCAGCCATCTCTGCTGTTTCAAGTAATTGGTTTACTTGCTTTTCTTATAGCAGCAGGGAAGAAACTTGGATAAATATGTTTCCTATAAGACCAAGAGAGAGGCCCTCCCAAAGCTGCCCATGCTAATGGGTACTCTTGCCTGCAGCTCATTTATAAAGTCAAAGCTATACAGTTTCTATTTCTTTTGTGCTTGACTGGCCAACTGAATTGACCTTATGGGAAAAAACATAGACAGCTGACTTGAATGTTTTGAAGATGAAATAACACCAGGATTCCAGCAGTTTTGAGGTTCTGCCTCTGGAGTTGTCTCTGTGCCCTACACAGGGCTGATCTGGGATTTTTGTGTATCTTATTCATTGTCTGGAAACACATTTCTCTCTCTTGGCTTCATCAGCTCTTGGGAGAGACCTCCTTGAAGAACAGACAGGATCTATGGGGTCTTTTGGACAAAAAAATAAAACGAAAAAAATGGCATATAACATCCTCTATTGAGGAAGAATATTGTATTTTATTGGGTCTCTTTGTGCTACTACTTTGTTTTAAAAAAGGGAAAAGTGAAAATGAAGTAAATGAAATAAAAAACATACATATAGGAAAAGGACTCAATACGAAAGCAAAGAATAGAAACTTTTAAAACATAGGATTGTCTCAATACCAAATACATCAAAATCAACAATAACAACCCAAAAAGGCATCATATGCTTAAATTGGAAATCTGTAGGACAAATCTTGAATACCTGCCTGATTTATTTAATCCTGGAAGGAACATTCAGAGAGAATTAAATGAATCGCTCAATCAATTGCAGGACACAAATGAATCAACAGAGAACCTTGGTAACTCAAAGGGTGGCAGTGGTGGATGGGTGCTTCAGCTCATGTGACAGAACTGACCCACCTGCATGAGTCAACTTGCCAGGGCTCTTGCCCTGAGTAGCCAGAAACATTCCTGTGATTTTCAAGAAATCCTCAAACTCCCTGGAGAGTCCTCCAATAATGCCATTTAGAGATGCACAGAAGGAAAAATAGAACAATTCTGATCTTGATTTCTAGTTTCTTTTCTATTGAACACTCTCTTGTGACCATATGTGAAAAAGTAGCTGACGCATTTGCTGTTGGAACAGAAACGACATGTGTTGACTCTGCCTTTGTGAGCAGAGACGTCCACCTCACTGCACTGACGATGCCACACGACCGGCCATCAGCATACTCCCCTTTTCCTCCCTGTCCTGAGCCATGATCCATCACTGTCTAGGTTTGTGTCACTGGTGCCAGCTGGCACACTTGCCATCTCCGTTGCCTTCCCCAGCCCCATTTAGGGATGCATGGAGGGAGGCCATAATGTTGGTGTCACATGAGCAGATGGTGAGGCCGAGCCAGGCCCAAGTACTGGTGGAGGGTTGAAGATGGCAGCGTGAAAGAAGCAATTATGGCTTGTGGGAGTATAATAAGGTGTAAGGAGCTCATGTACCGGGGACTTTCCTCAGCTGTCGCTTCCCAAGAATGACAATCTAATACAGAAAGAAAAGGTATTAAGTGCTGATCATCCCACAAAGATTCAGAAGGCAGATGCCAGCAATATCTGAAATCCAGCTTCTCATGGTTGAAAGCACTGTTTCCAGCCAGGCCCTCTGCTTATTAGAGAAAAGCAAATGTCACAAAGAGTGATAACTGAGAAGGTCACAAAGCTGAGAGACGATGCTGAGAGGATGAGAACATTTTCCAGCAGGAGATAAAGTCGGGAGGAATTGCTGTCCACTAATTTATTGGACTCAATACAAGCTGGGGGAATGGGGAATCCTAGTGTTAGGTGACTGGCCATCCCTGTTTGCCTGGGCCTGAGGGGTTTCTTGGGGCAGAGGACTTTCAGTGCTAAAATCAAGATGCTCCCAAACAAACTGGGGTGCTTGGTCACCCTACCTGAGATGATGAATGTTTCTTTCCCCAAAGAGGTTTCTCATTCTGGTTTGGCCCTGAGCTGCCAATGCTAGCTAGTAAGTCAATCAATAACTCTTAGTGTGAGAATGAGCTGAGAGGCAGCACCCAAGAAGAGCTGTGATGGTGAGGGATTCTCAGACATGCTCTCCAACCCCAAGCAATCAGTGATTCAATTGGAGAGTGCTCGCCAACACAGGGGACAGACAGTGATCTGTAGGAGGGTGTCTGCTGATCCCAAGTGGGATTCACAGGTGGCTGCATGTGTCTTGTGCACTGGAGAGGAGGTGACAGAAGGAAGGGGGCTATTGCATGAGGGAAGAGGGTGCCAGGGGATGAAAAGGACAGCATGGTATCTGTTTAGGGTACTGGTCCTTGGCCAGCCCCATGGATATATATGCTCAATTACATAGAATGAGAGGATATAGGAAACTCAGGCAGACAGAGCACTGCATCAGAGCTTAGGTGATAATTGACATGGTTGGTGCAAAAGCAATGTCTTAGTGAGGGCTGTGGGGAATAGCACACTTTAAGAACCTGCATGTTTTACAGTATTGAGAAAAAGCAACCTGGTCACAAATGTCAATGGCTGCACACACAGGCTGGTGTGGGAAAACCCCAAGTAGCACTAATGGAAGTAGAAACCAATGGAGTAGGCTAGAGGGGAAGCCCAGGAGAAAACTGTCAATGAGACCTAACTGGGTACCCTTAGAAGTAAATGTGACCCACAGAGAGGGGCTGGAGGTTCTCCATAAACAACAGAGGCAAGAGCCAAGGAGGAGGAGGGGAGAAGAGGAAAAGAAAGGAGGAAGGAAAGGAGGAAGAGGAGAAGATAATGGCATCCAATGCATAGGTTCCAGGAGCTGTTCTAAGTGCTTTACATAAATTAACTCTAAATCTGCCCAACCTGTGTGGTAGTCATATTATTATTTCCATTTTACAGATGAGGAAACAGGCAAAGAGACATTACCTGAATTACCCAGGATCTTACAGCTCACAAGGGTAAATAAACCTGGAATAATCACTACATATATGATGTGTGTCTCCATACAAATCCA